CTGATGAATCCTACGCCATCTGGTTCTGATTCTCAAGAAGTGATAATTCAGAAACCTACAGCATAGACGAACTCCTGGTAGATACCAACGTTTTAACGACATTTTATTCATGCCTCCAAATCGATGTGTGATACTTCATTTGTGATTTCTAGGCATAATGATATGCCGACGAAAAGGCTGGATTGCCATTCCTCAATCGGGGACAAGGTTTATGTTACCATTCGTGTTTGTTCTGTCTTCTTCAAGCCGCCTGGGCGAAACCCTTCTCCCAGCTCAGATTTTATGGATGCCTTCGCGTGTACACATTTTTGCGGCAAGCCTGCTCGCGACGGCTCTGCCATGACTTTACCATGCACTGGCACAGACTCGGAGCCATAGCTTCGGGGCGTGAACGTAGCCATCCCTCAACTTCATTTTGAGTTACTCCACAATTTCTTCCTGGTGGGAGCCTCTTAATGTTGAGGGGCCCATTATATAGAAGAATATTGCTATAGTGTATAGTTGATAAGACCTTGAAGTACGTATGTAAGTCGGGAGACCCCTAGCTTGTTTTTAGCCCTAACCCTAAGCTTGATCAGACACGTCTTTTACTTATACCGTCACCATCACCCTGAATTGCTGGTATTCACAGTAGGGAATCCACTTATACCTGCTGAAGAAATGGTACGAACAGCTGCAGCATTATTGGGTATTGCTCACTCTGCAATAGGTCGTCCTAGCAGCATCAATATGCACAAAAGGCGGTAAAGGTATGCACTTACCGCCATCACGTCTTCGTTGCGCATTTATAAGTTTCCAGCCGTCGTCTCCCGCCAGTTCCGTGACATGACACGAGCGCGAATTGAATCTCTCCTCGCCTCGTTCCCAAAACTCATACCCACCAACACGCAGCACACCACCGTCGAAACCTCCGAAGTCCGTTATGTCTACCAGCCGTTAGAGGACCTCTATATTCTCCTCATCACAAACAAAGCCTCCAATATTCTACAGGATATCGAGACGCTGCATCTCTTTGCTCGCGTAGTGTCAGACTTGTGTAGGACAGCAGATGAGAGGGAGATTCTCGTCAAGGCCTTTGAGATCCTGGGTGCCTTTGACGAGATTGTGAGCTTGGGATACAAGGAGAACGTCAGCCTCATGCAGGTTCGGAGCGTGCTGGAGATGGAAAGTCACGAAGAGAAGATTCAGGAGATCATCGCTAGAGTGCGTACATCGACATATTTTCCCGTTCTATTGCGCTTATCTTTTTTTTCTTAGAACAAAGAGGCAGAAGCCAAGGAAGAACTGAAGAGGCGCGCCAAGCAGCTTGAGATGCAACGACGTGAGCAGCAACGCCGTGCAGCTTCTACTGGCGGCATGAACGCGTATCTTGGTGGTGGGCCCACTGGGTATTCTCAGGTGCCAAGATTCGAGACTCCGGAGGCTACGCCGTCAAGAATTACGACCTCGTCTCCTGCGCCAACTTCGTCGCGCGCACCAGCATTCAAGGGCTCTGGCATGAAGCTGGGTAGCAAAAAGACGAAACAGGCCGAGCTACTTGATGCTCTGGGTGGCGAGGTCTTAGCGCCGCCCACGCCTGAGGTATCTGCACCACCGACTCCTACAGTATCCTCTGAGTCTGCTCACCAAAATGCTGGGAGGGGGAGCCTACCAGAGGTGGAGGCTGAGAGGTACGCTTATTAGGAGCTTCGTTTTACAGCTGATGCTGATCTTTCTCCAGTGTTCATATCGTTATCAAAGAACAGATCAGTCTTTCGTTGCATCGTGACGGAGGCGTACAATCCATGGAGCTCAAGGGCGACATGAACCTTCAAATTTCTGATGCCGAGTTTTCTCATATCAAGATCTTGCTGTCGAACCCACCGACGGACTTTGGCGGGCATCATCTGCAGTTCAAGCACCATCCTAATGTTCTCAAGTTTTCTCCGGGACAGCAGGAGCGCGTGGTCGCGCTGAAGGATTCCAGCAGGGCTTTCCCTTTGCATCAGAGTATTGGTGTACTCAAGTGGAGATATGCTGGTACCGACGAGAGCAACGTCCCTCTATCCAGTATGTTCTTCTCGTTCCATAGCGTGTGATGTTTGTATTCATTGCATGCTTCCTTCAGTCAACTGCTGGCCCTCACCGAACAACGATGGGACATGCGAAGTTAGCATCGAGTATGATCTCGAGAATGAAAATGTCTCGCTGTATGATGTGGTCATTTCAATCCCCCTTCCGTAAGGTTTCCTCCTGTTCTGCTCGCAAGCATTTGATTGAAATGACTGTCTTTTTAGTGACGGTTCATATCCTACCGTCTCCTCACACTCGGGCGAGTGGTCGCTGGAGCCCTCCTCTCACTCTCTGGCGTGGTCTATGCCCCGCATCTCTGGCTCAGATGACACGAAAACCGGGTCTATGATCTTCACGGTCGGGGGTGACGACACGGGCGCTTTCTTCCCTGTCCAAGTAAGGTTCATTGGGGAGGGTAGCTTGGCAGGGGTTTCTGTTGCGAGTGTTTCCAAGATTTCGGGCGAGGACGTGGTGTACTCGGTCGACTCGACAGTTACCGCTGATAAGTATTCCGTTGTGTAGAAAGGTAGATTCTTCTTTTTTAATTTTTATTGGATGCGTTGTCCAGGATGACGTACACTGCTTTTGGGCCGCTACCTCGTCAGAGCCATCACTCGAAGGAGGTTATTGCACCGTCCAACTCATGATCGTATACTCTTCCAATGAAGAATACACAATGGCAGCCAGTTTGATGATAGTACAATTCTGGTCTGCCTGACATTTATTCTTCTCTCTTCTGGAGGTTGGCCGACATCCGGCACCTTTAGCACAGAACTTTTATGGAATTGCAAGGCGAAGTCCACAAATTTTTGGTTATGATGGGCTGTCTGCACTCGCAAAAGCAGCGCGTTGCTATCCATCTGGCTCCAACTAAGCTTGGTGCGTAATACTACATTAGCGATGCGGCGCGGCCAGGTCTTTTTCAGGGATTGCTGCTAGTGCAACTGCTTGACATCCATGGTATCACTCTGCCACTCTGTCCTTCTTTTTGAGGTTTCGTTTACTCTTCCATGGGATGGCTTCGTATATTGCGAGTTTTTCCACGAAGTAGTGTACTGGTTACGTTCGCTACCACGGCAGTTGCGTCCCGTCAAACTGGAAAAACTTCGCGCTATCCTCCTTCAATCCTTCCACGACACGCACAATGCCTTGCGCACTGACCCTCGGTTCAATTCCTCCATCTCCCAGAAGTTTGCCCATATCAGTCGCGATCCATCCCGGATGCACCGGCACTACGATGAATCCTTCCTTTTCCAACTCATTATGGTACTGTACCGCCAGCATATTGCACCCCGCTTTGGTGACGGTATATGGCCCCATCAGGCCAAACGAGTTGCCGATCTGAGAGTGCATCGACCCGGCCCGGGAGGAAATGAAGACAATCTTCTTGTCTTTGCCCCTTCTGAGCGCGGGGAGGAAGGCGGACACTACGCGGTGCGGACCGACAACGTTGGTGGAGAGGTATTCGGCTAAGGTGTCTGTGGAAGTGGATAGAAGTTTTCCTGGAACGCCCATGGCGGCGTTAATGATGATAATATCGAGATCCTGGACGAGAGGGTGCTGCGCTGCCGTCGCAATTGAGTCATCGGAGGAGATGTCGACATCTGTGAGGGTATCGACGCCTTCGAGCGGGATGGAGCCGCGTACGGTGGCAATGACGGCGGTCAAGGGCCGGCTTTGGAGTTCTCTGACTATGGCGAGGCCCAAACCTCGCGACGCCCCTACGACTAGGACTTTGGGCATGATAGGTGTGCAAAGTAAGGCGTTTTTATGCTTTGGATAGCATGGTGCTGATATACACAAGACGCCGCGGATATCGTTTGGACGGCTGACGAATCTTTGAGTCAAATGCATGCAGAAAAGAAGACTGCGACTCAATGTACCAACGTAAATTGGCTAAACGAGTGTATTCCTGCCCCGATAAGAAATCGGATCCACATAGAATGAAAGTAAGCACGCTGTGGCGTTCATTGATATTTACACCCCCCCCCAATTGACTCCGTTCTATTCAATATGAAAAATAGGATTAAATGTATAATAATGTTTTCGTATCACGCCAACCTATCTCCTGCCAAGGGCTTGGGTTGCTCATCGATGAAACGAGCCAATTCGGATCGGAGATTCGCCAGTAACGACCCAAACCGTATCTTCACGCCTGAATGCGTGAAGCTTGTAAACGCCTCTTCGCCATCGAAGAGTATGAGCGACAGAGTGACAGCAACGTCGTCGTCGGTGCCCCTTGTCTGTCGACTGAACGAGGCGTGTACCGCCTGGTACACCTTCGACTTATCAACACAGTTCACTATCCCCCTCTCCCCATTCCCTCCATCAACGATATATCCATCCTGAAAAGTGAATCTTCCTCTTTCGCCCCAGCCGAAGCGGTCCCGTGGATCCGAGGCGAAAGCTTACGCTATCACACACCCCTGAGTCGCAGTCCATGTCCAAACAGCCCGTCTTTTGTTATTGTGGGGGGGGGGATCCGTGGTTAAACACCCCGTCCTTCCTCTGAAGTGGAGTCCAGACGCTTGCATCGCACAATCTAATTTTCTTTTCGGGAATTCACCTCCTGAAGGATCTGTGGATCCTAAGGCCTTCAGGTTTGGGCGCCCGTTGGCGATGTTGACAACGTCTTCAAAGCTCCGATGCAAATACGAATATTTATGTTTTACATCGCACGAGCTGCCTTGACTATTGTATGACGAATTGTGTCAGAGATTCAGAGACTGATTAAAAGCAACATTGTGATATCAAGGCAAAAGAGTAGATATAAAATGTTGGAAGTATTGGTCTCAAGTCTCACCGCCCCAAAGCGCTCAGTGCTTGCTGCCACCCAGTATATGTAACTCAGTGCAGTGGAGTGCACCACGGGCTACGGCACCCTCGGACCTCAAGGCCTCAAGCAAGACTTGTGAACGAAAAAGATTGACAATAGGTAGGGTATCCGCGGGCTTGACTGGGAATTGAACCCAGGACCTCCTCGATAATTAAGATCACTTAGGGTATCTCGCAAACCCTAACAAGGAATCATACTACTAGACCATCAAACCGCTTCCTAAAGTATCATCGCCGTCTTCCCAAGTCTCTCAGTCATACACAAGCCTGTGGCCTACAACACCCTCCAAACGGCATACACATCAGACTCTTCTTTCCTCTCCTCCTTCTTGAGTGATTGCATTGCAAACGATTACGACTTTGGGAATGTGTACGCTTACATCCGGCCCATCCAATCAAACTAGGGCAATTGCAACAACATCCAAGATGAGCTATGCAGAGAGTAAGCCCGGGACCGAGAGGAACGTCGAAAAGCACTGGCTGACAATCGAATCGACAACCAATACATGCCCCCTAGATGTGTTTGGGACTTATACAGCAATGCTGCTACAGTGGCGTATTGCAGGCTCAACAGGGCGTCCGACGAAGCTGATATCGTATTCTTGTGGATAAGAGAGATCGCGTTGATGCGTCGACACCCATTAATGGACGTGAATGGCTCGTGCCCATCCCGATGGATGCCAACCTCAGTCTCATCCGAGTCGAGATGCTGGATTTAGGAGCCAAGTATGTGTGGCTGGATGTCCTCTGTTGAGACAGCGAGGTGTACCTCGCGTGGTCAGAATTCTTAGCGGCGCCTCCAAAATCGTATAAATGGTTTACAGCAATGGACACACATCTACCAATAATCCGCTCTCGGGGTCGGAAGACCCCAACTCGCTAACGGGCCTAGTACAACGTCTTTGGCGTGTCGATCCACTGGTGGAGAGACCCCTGCGGTGTGGGGTGTACGAAGGTAATATAAACGTTCCACAAAAGAAAAAGAGGCAGCGAGGTGGGCACGTACGTCTAGCAGTTTCCCTTACTATTTCTCCCTTCACCTCAGAACTGGCGCCCAATATGCTAAACTACAAAGCGTGAGATTTATGGTCGACTAATGAGGGGGGAGGTCTGTTGATTTGGGAAGGCAAACCTACGTCGTTCTCGTGGTTTCACTATTCGGCCAATCTTGATACAGACGTCCAGATTTCTAAGTATATTCTTTGTCAAGGCTCAGCAATTTTAGAATGGATGACGGGTCATATAATGCAGACTCTGCGATTTCTCGTCAGCTTGGACCTGCATCCTTCAATCAAGACCCGACATGTTCCCATTCCATCCCCGCCTGGGCCCTTTCTTCCATGCCTCTCCAACCAAAGATCATTTCCCGAGAACAACTCCATCAACATTGCTCAACTCCCGTTGCCAAGCTACTCGATCTCATCTTCCTCGAAGAGGACTTCGTCGAGATTCTCTCGAGTATCACCCTAGACATCGGCAAGTGTATCAAGTGTTAGTGCGCTACATATGCGGAAACAAAGCCAGCAGGAGAGTTCCCGGGAGACGGCAATTCCGATGCCAAGCTTCTCCCCTTCGTGCGTCGCTGTCCACTTTTATGCACATGTATGCCCACCCTTCTCTATCGCTATCTTTCTCGGTTTTTTCCAGCATCAAGTTCTTCGATTGTCCCCTAGATGATATATACATCGACGATCTTTTAAATAAAAAGACATAGGACTCGGACCTGCCGCGCGAATGCGATGGCCCTCACCAACTAGTCCTCTTTGTTGATGGGAATAGATTCTACCTACTTACTTATAGGAAAAGCTTGACATCGTTAAGTCGACCGCTTGGATACGATCTATATAGCAGTGAATCAGTAGTCCCGCAGTCTGCCATAGCAAATTATCCACGTTGTTGGATGTGTTGGGGGCTCCGACATGGTTTCATCAGCCCTTTTCATCGTTCATCCTCCAATTGGATCACTGGAGTTGCGTCGCCTTAAGTCTTTGGGATCCTGCAAGTCAATTCGCATCGAATCGTTACTCATTACAGTCATGTTATTTAGTGGGCTATGAATGCTACCTTTTGACATTCACGACCTCCTCCGGCAAGTGAACCGTGAACACTCGCCCACTCCAGATTCCGAAAGCAATAAGTGATCCTTTGGTGTCAAAGCTCCGAAGTCTGAACTCGAGCGGTAACCTCCATACGGTGACCGACTTGGCCTCAGATACCTGGATCTTAACTAGATTTGCACCATCTGGATCCACAAGGTCCAGAGAGTGGGAAATATCAGACATTACAACGTTAACCCAAGGTGAATCCGCCGCCTCTGGCTTCCGCCACTCCTGTCGTGTCTCCGCATCCAAAAGAGTGATATGCTTGACAAGCTTCTCCTTTTTATCACTTGGAGCGTCGCCCTTCTCATTCATGTCTCTGCTGGGGGATTGCACATCGCCTGCGCTGTCGTCGTCGTCCTCGGCATCATCCTCTCCCTTGTCTCTCACAGACCCATCCTCGCTGAATACCGCATTTCTATTGTATTCATCCATCGCCAACTCCTTACCAGTAATCGTGTCCCAGAATTTTGTCGAATCTTGTCTCCAGGAACGTACAAGTAGCCTGTCAGGTGAAAACTGGACCTCATACGGTGGTCGATCGTGTCTCCGATGAGTCTTTCTCGCTAAATTCCCGACTGTGGTCGCATCCCAAATCTGCACGTTGTTCAGAAATGCGCCCGAGGCAAGCCTCGACCCATCGCTGGAGAAGGCAATGGCAGAGACGGCATTGAAGTTGCCTTCCAACGAAGCCCGCTCTTTGCCAGACGTGACATCTCATAATCTCATCGTTCCGTCAACGGAAGTTGAAACCACCATTGTACTATGCGGGTCCATACCTAACGGTTGGTATTCATGTGTATTCTCCGCCGTTACGACTTGTAGCGCATCCCCTGTAAGTGCGTTCCATGTCCGGATTGTACCATCCTCCGAGTTGGATATAATCTTGTCACAATCACCATACTGCAATGATGTAACTTCGTCCGAATGCCCCTTCAAAGTCATCAGCTCTTTGCCAGAGACTGTCTCCCATATTGAAATGGTTCCGTCACCGGCGCCTGCTGCAAAATTGGAGCCATCTGGGGAAAAGTCGATGGAGTGGAAGAATCGGGCGACGTCCCTGTTCTTGAGAGAGGGTCCTTTCAAGGTGGAAAACATCTGCCTTCGCCGAGCCAAATCTATCGCACACAATCTCCCATCCTCAGATCCTAGAACGGCAAACTCCCCTTGTCTGCTAAAAGCTGCGCGAGTGAATGGCAGGGGTCGAAAAGTCCTGGTTATTGAATTGTCATCCAAGTCCATGCCTGTCGGATCATGGAGGGACTTGGAAAGATGTAAACTCTTTGAAGCAGAAGTGACGGAGTCATCAGCGATGGCCTGCGGTTTCAATGCGTCGGTCTGTGCTCCAACCTGCTCTGCCCCAGCGGCGCCGTCTGTAGGCAATCTTGTGAAGGTCTCATGGGTACCGAATTGTCCAGATACTGTAGCCCACTCAGCTCGCTTCAGTTCCGATATAACCTTGCCCGTCACACCGTCCAAGGTCCACAGAGTTCCTGTCGTTGAGGCAGACAAAATTATCTCGCCATTCTGCAGGAATTCTACGAAATTTCTTCCATCGATCTCCAAGGCTGGCACAGCTTCGACACCGGTTGCTGTATCCCAGAGTCGCAGAAGGTATTCATCGTTCCGAAACCTGCCACCCGTGATGCCGCTGGATATAATCTTGGATCCATCTGGCGAAAAAGCCAGTGACTGGACCGTTCGGTCCAGGCGTTCAAACACCCGTAAGGATGGCGACCACCACTCCTGATACCCGCCAAGCACGGTAGGTAAACGGCCACTGTGAAAGAGTTTGTATATCTTGCTGTTGACGGGTGCGAAAGGCAACGCTGCCATGTAAACCAAAACCGGATGTTCGGCAATAGTAGCTGAAAAGAATCCAGCAAATCTTTCAGCGTCGTATAACAATTCAAGCAAATTTTCGTTGGCAGGTTCAATATATTTCTACAGGAGTCCAATGGCTATGGTTAATGTCCGACGACTATGTAAATGGCACGAGACTTACTATCACCCAGACATAGAGTTGTTCAAGCATGCTAGCAGCATTTCGGGACCTTCCTAACATGCTCATCGCCTCCAGCCAGTGTAGAATATGCTTGGTCAGGAAATCCAACAAGTCGCTATCGAATCCTTGTGGACAAGAGACCATCTCACACGTATGTGCAATCCAATATGTGCAAGTGTATGTCACAGTTTCGTCCAGCGACTGACCATCTCGGGAATCATCTAACGTCAAATGACAGAATTTATCTCCAAAGGCGCGCGCCAGGATCGGAATACATTTCTGTGCAAGTTGCTCATTGTGTCCGGCGAGATCAATGAACCAGGGCCCATCGTTACACTTCCCGTCGCACTTTGGACTGCATTTCTCTATGCACCGATCTTTACACCTTGTCGGATTGGACAGATAGTCGCGGAACGAGACATGAAGGATGCGGACTGGCTCTGCATTGCCGTCATGGTGAAGGACGCTTCCAAGCTTGGATATGATTTTTAGGGATTTGAGATCCAAAATCTGGTCAATCGCGTCGGGTGAAAGAGGTGTCTTCGCCATGAGAATGAGACCCAAGACATTGCAGGCATCCTTCTTGAAGCGAGGTTTTTTCCATTCTTTTGCAGATCGAAGAGCTTTGACGTAGAGAACATCTAGGGCTTCTTCGGCAACTTCATATACCTGTCCACCCACCAACTCATCTAGCAGTTTCTCCGGATCGTAGTCCTCGTAAATATACTTGCATGCAGTAGAGGCCCAGATGAATAGGCCGGCAGCTCGTTCGACGAGGGCGCCAATCTTGTACTCTTCCGGCCACTCCTCTGGCACACAACCATGATTGTGTTTCGCGATCTCGGTTATCTAATGGCGTATGTAGACAGATATCTCCGAAGTCTCGGTGACTAGTTCATGGATATGTATGTGCGGTTTATAAGGCACACGGAACGCGGTGTCTATGTCACGGTCAACACGACTGGTGACTATGATTCGAACGGAAGGCGGAAGGTGCGCGAAGTTGACCGCAAGAATATTTATTAATCGCTCTCGATCACGGTCGCCCTCGGTACCACACTCATCGAAGGCGTCAATGACGATAACGATGGGTCCTTCTTGAGACAACGAC